AGAGAGAGCTGGGGAGGGGCAGGGGGAGAGAGAGAGAGTGAGAATCCCAAGCAGGCTCCACGCCCAGCACAGGGCCTGATGTGGTACTGGATCCCACGACCCTGAGATCATGACCTGAGCTGAAGTCAAGAGGTGGTAGCCTAACCAACTGAGACACCCAGGCACCCCTAGGATTTTGTTTTTAAGTAATGTGTACACCCAACATGGGGCTCAAACTCACAACCCCATGATCAAGAGTCACAAGCTCTGGGGTGCCTGGGTGGTTCAGTCGGTTAAGCATCCGACCCTTGATTTTGGCTCAGGTCATGATCTCAGGGTTGTGGGATCCAGTCCCACATCAGGCTCCATGCTGGGTGTGGAGCCTGTTTGAGATTCTCTTTCTCTCTCCCTCTGCCCCTCCCCTGCTCTCTAAATAAATAAATAAAATCTTTTTAAAAAAAAGTCAAATGCTCTACCAACTGAGCCAGGCAGGTGCCCCACAAATTGCAATTTTAATGCCTTTTTTCAACATCTTTTTTTTTTTTTTTTTGAGAGAGAGAGGGAGAGAGAGCACAGGGGAAGGGCAGTGGGAGAGGGAAAGAGAGAGAGCAAGAATCTTACCAGGCTCCACACCCAGCAAGCTGGAGGCGGGGGTCCATCTCATGACTCCAAGATTATGACCTAAGCTGAAATCAAGAGTTGGATGCTTAACTGACTGAGCCACCCAGGCACCCCACAAATAGCAATTTTAATACATTTTAATCCTTGATGCTGCTGGAACACACTGTACCTGGAATGAAAATTAATAGAAAAAACGCATAAGAGTCATCGAATACATTGCCATGTTCTTGGGTTCACTTTAAAGGCAATTAAAATTTGAAGATGAGATAGCTAGTGAAGGACTGCTGAGTTTTGCAGATTCTAAGAAAGAACCTTGCATTTTCAGAGATTTTAAAGTTGCCAGTGCAGTCTAACTTTATTTGAGGCTTCCCTTTTCCAAAATCAGATAAAATACCAGCATTATTCTTTTTCTTAATCACTCCAACTTAGGGTTACATTTTGGCCCCCAGATGGAAAGACAGAAGAGGAAGAGGTAAGGGGGTGCCTGGGTGGCTCCGTCAGTTAAGTGTCTGCCTTCAGTTTACAGCCCGCGTTGGGCTCCCTGCTCAGCAGGGAGTCTGCTTCTCCCTCTGCCCCTCACACCACTCGTGTTCTCTCTCTCATTCCCTCTGTCTCTCTCTCAAATAAATAAATAAAATCTTAAAAAAAAAAAAAGAGGAAGAGGGAAGAGGTTTTAAGGGAAATAAATAGAAAGGTGTAAAGACAGATGAAGGAAAGGTAAATAAAAGAGGCAAGTGGTCCTGACAGAAAGAAATGGTCAGTTACTGAAACTGAGCTCAGAAAGAAAAAGGATTCAACAGGCTTTTTCACTGGAAGTGAGTAAAGAGATGGTAGGGAAGAAAAATAGGGTTAATTGGATCTTTGTACCAGCTTGTGCTATTGACAGAAGGTAATGCGGCTTCTGTATGGAAGAGCTATCTTCTAAGTGGGTAGAGGAAAATAAGAGAGTGAATGATTGATTGTATCCACCAGACATTAGTAAATTAGGTGTTGAAATGTGAAGCCTATGATGTCACCCCAAATCCCAAATGAAAACCTACCTGCCATCCTAGCCCTATGGAGCCTCCTTCCTAATCTCCCTTCCTCACTTGGGTTTGCAGGCAACATGTTGGAAATCCATTCCTTCATGGTAAACTGTCGCACATTGTTGTCTTTCACATGCCAAGATTCTGGCTCTTTAGCAAACACTGCACAGCAGAATGGCTCTATTTTGAGGGCACAGACATATCCACAAAGATGCCCTTCATCATATACTTCAAGGAATTTGCATGCGTAGTTTATCTCCTTCTTCTCCTTACAGAAGTGATAGGCAACTTTCTAATGGATTTTTCTATTTCTGAAACTAACTTGTTAAGATCACTCACTTCTCTTTTAAAGCCAATTACTTCATCCCCATTTAAACCAAGAAACAAATATCCCCCATCAGTATTTGAAAATGCAGAAATATATTGAGGGAGAATCTCTTTAATGCGTTGTAACAACTTGTCTGTTGAGAAGGCTTTCATTTCAACATGTGTGGATTCAGTAAAGGGGAGTTTTTCTCTGTACCTAAGTTGTGTCCTGTTAAAAAACTCATCAGCCAAGGCCTTCACGTTACTCTCTACTTGTGCATTCTGCTTTGGAGACAATTTAGATCTATACAATCTCCCCTTAGTTTTGTTCTTGTCTGTGAGGAACTCCATTGTAGCAGTGGCATCCATGATATTTGTACATGTTACATCCCTTTTGTACAAATTCGACTTCACGGTGGCAATCCGTAAACCAGAGGTTTTTGAGCTCCATGATTTGACAAAAATTAGAAAATATTCACCTTGCTGCATAAAGTCTAGGTATTTATGAACAGATGGAAGAATATTTCCAACAGACCTTTCCAAATCTAATCCTATTCCATCTTTTGGGTAACTATAGTTTTCATTCTCAATTTCAGCCTTGATCACTCCCCCTCCAGAATTCAGCAAAGCAATCATAGCTTGTAAGATGTTTTCATTCTGCTTTTTTCGAAGTTGACAATCTTTCATTTTTTTCCTATTCTTCTCCCCAAGAGTGACTCTTCCCACACCTAAACTCAGCTCAGCAGTTAGTTTTCAAATCAATACTAATGTTCATTTTCCCAGTAGCCATTCAATTTCCAAGCAGAAATCCTTTCCTGTAAAAAAAATTAAAAAGGCAGAGCCATGAGTATAGAACCTGAGCAGAAGACATCAAATTCTGTACTGTGAGGCAAACCCAACAAAATCCTTTGCTGTGTATATTCCACTGGATGTTATGGAAAGGGTACAGGATAAAGTCTTTTTTTTTGGACAGATTTTGAGCTAAGACTATAATAATTTTTACTCCTGTGAAGTTTTCAATTTTTTTCCCTAAGATTCCACTTTTTTCAAAGTAATCTCTATACTCAGTGTGGGGCTCAAACTTACAACCCGGAAATCAAGAGTTGCACACTCCCCCAACTGAGCCAGACAGGTGCCCCTCAATTTATTTATTTTATTTATTTTTAATTTTTAAGTAATCTCTACACTCAATGTGGGGCTTGAACTTACAACCCCGAGATCAAAAGTCACATGCTCTATAGACTGAGCCAGTCAGGCGCCCTGAAATTTTCAATTTTTTTGCCATAGTTTTATATGATCCTCTTCTAATTGTTTTAATCTCATCTTTATTGGTGTTTTTATCCCCTTTCTAATTCCTAATATTATATAATTTTCTTTCTCCTTTCCTTAAATAAGCCCCTCTGGGAAGCTTATCTATGTTTTTGATCTTCTCAGTGAACCAAATTTTATATATTACTTATACTTTTACTTCATTTTATTTTTAAAGCAATTTTATTTATTTGAGAGAGAGAAAAAAAAAAACGAGGGAGGAGTGGAAGGAGAAGCAGGCTCCCCACTGAGCAGGGAGCTGGACAAGGGGCTAGATCCCAGGACCCCGAGATCATGACCTGAGCCAAAGGCAGACACTTAACCAACTGAGCCACCCAGGCACACCTTATACTTTATTTTTAATAATTCCAACTTTTACCTTAATTTCCTCCTTTTATTGGGGAGTCCTTCAGGAAAATTCTCAGTTGGGGGTCTAAAGACATCCAGCAATATGCCATGTTAGTAGTTTTTCCGTCTTGCAAGCATGAATTAGATTCACAAATTTTGGCCAATTGATCTTAAGCAAGGTGGGCCAAATTACTGTACCCTCTTCCTACCAGATATCCATATTTTCAGTGAGGTAAAATTCTTATATACAAGATGTCTGTTTTAGTATAAGTATCCCTAATCCATTAGTTCTCTCCCTTTTCTGTGTATTGGGATCACAGCTTTGCTACAGATGACCTAAAGACAGTTGAGAGGAGAGTCCATCACAGGTAAGTAATCACTATACTAGACTAGGAAAGGTTATAAAGGGGTCAAAATATTCGTGTCTACTGCTGCTGGACCAGTATCCTACAGAGGTTCAGCTATAAGCTGTGAATGTCACCTCTGTCTCTATAAATTCCTGATCATTCCTGAACAACTGTTATGAATTGAATGTTTGTGTTCCTCCAAAATTCATCTCATCCTAATTAAGACTCCACCTATTATTGTAGAGCTATCTATTTCTCCTAGAATTATATCAAATCTTTGGTTTATATAATTAGGAGCTCTGATGTTTGATGCCCACATGTTTATAGTTACTACAACTTCTTGGTGAACTCATCCTTTTATCATTATATACCGTCTTTGTCCTTTATAACCACTTTTGATTTAAAGTCTGATTTGTCTGATATTAGTGTAGCCACCTCTGTTCTTTTGGTTACTATTTGCATAGAATAACTTTTCCATCTTCCATTTTCAACTTTTGCATGTCCTTAGATCTAAAGTGAGTCTTTTGATACAGATGTCCAATGGTCACATGAAAAACTGCTCAACATCACTCATCATTGGGAAAATGCAAATCAAAACCACAATGAGTTATTACCTCACATCTGTCAGAATGGCTAAAATAAAAAAGACGAGAAATAACAAGTGTTGACAAGGATGTGGAGAAAAAGGAATCCTTATGCACTGTTGGTGGGAATGTAAATTGTTGCAGCCACTGTGGAAAATAGTATAGAAGTTCCTCAAAAAGTTAAAAATAAAAATACCATATGACACAGTAATTCCACTACTGGGTATTTACCCAAAGAAAACAAAAACACTAATTTGAAAATATATATGCACCCCAATGTTATTGCAGCATTATTTAAAATAGCCAAGATACAGACATGACCTAAGTGTCCATCAATAGACAAAAGGATAAGGAAGATGTGGTACATACACACACTGTAATATTACACAACCATAAAAAAGGATGAGATCAAGTCATTTGCATGGATGGACCTAGAGGGTTTTATACTAAGTAAAATAAGTCAGACTGAGAAAGAAAAATACTATATTATTTCATTTATATGTGGAATCTAAAAGAAAGAAAGAAATAAACAAAAAGCAGAATCCGACTTGTAAATACAGAAAACTGATGGTTGCCAGAGGGAAGGTGATGGGGGGAATTGGTAAAATGGGTGAAGGGGAGTGGGAGATACAGGCTTCCAGTTATGGAATGAGTAAGTCATGGGAATAAAAGGTACAGCATAAGGAATACAGTCAATGATATTTTAACAGAAGGTATGCTGACAGATGGTAGCTGCACTTGTGGTGAGCATAGCATAATGTAGAAACTTGTCAAATCACTATTTGGAAACCTGAAACTAATGTAACATGTATGTCAACTACCCTCAAATAAAAAATTTTTAAATAAAAATAATATAAAATAGGGGCACCTGGATGGCTCAGTTGGTTGTGTCCAACTCATGATTTCAGCTCAGGTTATGATCTCAGGGTTTTGGGACCCAGCCCTGTGTTGGGCTCCAAGCTCAGCAGGAAGTTTGCCTGAGGATTCTCTCCCTCTCCCTCTGCCCCTGACCCTGCTCACACTCTCTCTCTCAAATAAATAAATAAATCTTTTAAAAATATATAATATAAATAAAGTGCATCTTTTGTAAACAGCATATAGATGGATCCTGGTTTTTAAAATCATTCTACTAATCTATGTCTTTTGCCTGTATAGGGTTACCGATTTATATTGAAAGTCATTACTGATAGGGCAGGACTTACTATTACCATTTTGTTGTATGTTTTCTGTAGGTGTTACAGTTTTTTTGTTGTTGTTCCTCATTTCCTCCCTTACTGCGTTCCTTTGTGTTTAACTAATTTTTCCTCATAGTTTGCCTTAGGGTTCACTCTTAGTGTTGTACTTTCTGTGGGTTTGGACAAATGTATAATAACACATATCCATCATTATACTATCACACAGAGTATTATCACTGCCCTAAATATTGTCTGTGCTCTACCTATTCATCTTGTCCCAACTCCCAATCCCTGACAACTATTGATTTTTTTTTTTACTGTCTTCATAGTTTTGCCGTTTCCAGAGTGTCATATAGTTGGAATCACACAGTATGTAGCCTTTTCAAACTGGCTTCTTTCACTTAGTAATATGCATTTAAGGTTCCTCCATGTCTTTTCATAGCTTGATGTCTCGTTCCTTTATAGTGCTGAATAATATTCCATTGTCTTGATGTACTACAGTTTATTTATCCATTCACCTGTGAAAGGACATCTTGATTACTCCCAAATTTTGGCAATTATGAATAGAGCTGCTAAAACATCCATGTGTAGATTTTGTGTGGATATAAGATTTTAACTCCTTTGGGTAAATACCAAGGATCAAGATTGAGGGATTGCATAATAAGTATGTTTAGTTTTATAAGAAACTGACAAACTGTCTTGCAAAGTGGCTATACCATTTTACATTCCCACCTGCAATGAATAAGAGTTCTTGCTGCTCTATATCCTTGTCAACTTTTGGTATTGTCAGCGTTCTGGATTTTAGCCATTCTAATACGTATGTAGTGGTATCCCATTGTTTTAATTTGCATTTCATTGATGACATATGATGTGGGACATCTTTTCATATGCTTATTTGCCATCTGTATATCTTCTTTAGTGAGACATTAAGGTCTTCAGCTCATTTTTTAATGGGGTTGGTTATTTTCTTATTGTTGAATTTTAAGAGTTCTTTGTGTATTTTAGACAACAGTACTTTATCAGATATGCCTTTTGCAAACATTTTCTCCCAGTCTTTGCCTTGTTTTATCACTCTATTAACATTGTCTTTTCCAGAGCAGAAATTTTTAATTTTAATGGATTAAAAATTCTTTATTTAATAGAGTATGCCCTTGGTGTTGTATCTGAAAAGTCATCACCATACCCAAGCTCATCTAAGTTTTCTCTTACATTATTTTCTACGAGTTTCATAGCTTTGACAGGCAGGATACTCACCACTATACTAACGAGGAAGACCTGAGTTTCATAGCTTTGAATTTTACATTTAGGTCTGTGATCCATTTTGAGTTAATTTTTATGAAGTGTATAAGGTCTATGTCTAGATTCATTTTTTTTTGTACATGTGGATGTCTAGTAGTTCTAGCACCATCTTGCTGAAAAGACTATCTTTGCTCCATTGCATTATCAAAGATCAGTTGATCATATTTATATGTATCTGTTTCCAGGTTCTCCATTCATTCCACTGATCTATTTCTATTCTTTTACCACTACCATGCTGCCTTGACAACTGTAACTTTACTAAAGCTACAATACTTTCTTGAAGTCAGGTAGTGTCAGTCCTCCACCTTTGTTCTTCCCTTTCAATATTGTGTTGGCTATTCTGGGTCATTTGCCTCTCCATATGAACTTTAGAATCAGTCTGTTGATAGCCACAAAATACTTTTCTGGGATTTTGATTGGGATTGCATTGAATCTACAAATCAAGTTGGGAAGAACTGAGATTTTGACAATATTGGATCTTTCTATCCATGAACATGGAATATCGTTTTGTTGTTTTTTTTAAAGCTCTTCTTTGATTTCTTTCATCAGAGTTTTGTGTCTTCTTCATATAGATCTTTTACATATTTTGTTAGATTTATACCTAAATATTTCATTTTGGGGAGGTGCTAATGTCAATGGTATTATATTTTGAATTTCAAATTCCACTTGTTCATTGCTGGTATATAGGAAAGTGATTGACTTTTGCATATTAACCTTGTATCCTACAAC